TGCATGAAACTATTTTGGGAAAATTATCATTTCCAGAATAGCAAATTATAATTGCTTATATTGTCGATGAAATATATCATCAATTAGTATTTACTAAATAAATACAGGAAGAACCTCCACAGTTGTCCACCTCCCTACACTGACCACCTCCGTAAGTCGACCTAATTTTCCATAGACTGGACATGCACCACATGTACAGATGAGTACAGTCAGCCTAGTTCTTCGTGTTGACCAGTCTGCTACAGTCCCTGGCATGGTCCATTAATGATTTCTACTGTATGTGTATGCGACATTATTAACTAATGTTGAATAGTACATACATTTTTCACTCTGAACTTTAGTAAATATTATGTACACATAAACACACAAATAACCTGACAATAGTGTACTGAAATGTTAAGAACCCACTTACTGTTTCACACAGTGATGTTTAGATAGATCTTAACTCTTGACAGAGAATTATAGTTACTGTGTATCAGTACAGATTGTTATTTAATGGCAGAAATTGATTTCACAAGGGTGAATCCAGTTCTTGCTCTCTACCAGCATTTATGGTTGGTAAACTATTAGGTATTTTTAAAATGATAATATCAAAAATACGTGCATTTATGTCTTTTCTTATTTACTGCTGTGAGTTTTGTGAACCCAAAGTTGCAGAGAGGATGAGGCATTAAGGATGACTTAACCTGAGATTCAAGCAAGAGGCACGGCCCCTTGTGGGTACTCTGAAAGCATTCATTGAAACCAGACAAGGAAAGATTGCAAACAGAAATTTAAAAATTTGGAATCTCAGCTCAGCGCCTGTGGCTCAAGTGGCTAAGGTGCCAGCCACATACACCTGAGCTGGTAGGTTCCAATCCAGCCCAGGCCCGCCAAAACAACAATGACAGCAGCAACCAAAAAATAGCCAGGCATTGTGGCGGGCACCTGTAGTCCCAGCTACTTGGGAGGCAGAGGCAGGAGAATCGCTTGAGCCCAGGAGTTGGAGGTTGCTGTGAGCTATGATGCCACAGCACTCTACCCAGGGCGACAGCTTGAGACTCTGTCTCAAAAAAATAAAAATTTTTTTGGAATCTCTTGGGAAAAGATTCAGCTCTGTCTTGGCCAATGATGCTGATAATAAAAAGGATAAGGGAGAGGAAGAAGAATCAACATCACTGTGAAATCACCACTGACATCCTGACTTTATAGATGAAATGGAAAGTTTATCTAAATTCCCTGAGCCTCCAGGTCACAGAGGTGGTAATTAGAGATCCGGGTCTCTAACTAATGTCAATTAGTTTCTTAAGACTAAACCTTGGTTGTTCTTCTATCTCGATAGGGACGTTGCCAGTTATTTAAGAACTACGTATATTTATCTTGGGAGGCAGACATGTGCGTTTATAATGCACTTCTAACAATGTTTTTTCAGTTCAAAAAAAGTTTACATTGTCTAAGCATACTTTTTAGGGACATAGGGATTAAATATGGCTACACAAAATTCACAAATTGGTCTGTAAACAAGAAAACGGAATTTACCATGTTTATTAAAGGTAGTAAATACTTTAATCGTGTTAGAGCTAGCGTGGTGCAGTTGGTCTTCCTACACACACATTTGTACACTCAGATGTTCCTCATTTTCCTGCAGTTCATAGATAAATAAACCTGAATTATAAAGACTCTACTTTTAATTTTGGTCAAAGGCATCTTTCTCTGGACGCTTAACATTTTTCTATACTGATAAAGTAGAAAATTAAGGAAACTGCCTTAAAACTCAGATTTAAGTTTGGAGGCAAAGGACAAGAAAAGGTTTTTCAAGACAAGAAAAGGTTTTTTTACTTTACTTTTTCAGCCTTTTTATTATTCCCTTTGATCTAATTAATTGAGTTCAGCCTGCCAGCTGTTTCTTGGACACAGTAGGGGAAGTGAGACATCAGGAATTAGGGTTTTGTTTTCCTTTGGCTTTCGTGCCTCTGGCCTGTCTCTGATCTTTCAGTCACAACCTTCCAGAGCACAGAGCCAGGCTTGGTTTTGCCTTCTTCACACTCGGAGTTCCCTGTCTCACCAGAACATTCCTCACAGCTGCCATTCCTGATACTCACCTGGTCCTTGGGGTTGTGGACGGTGGACACCGAGGATAGGAGGATGTCTGTCCCTCCTCACCAATGCTGCTCACCATCACCCCTTTGGAGAACGAGGTGGTGTGGTACCAGGAATGGCCATCAGTGGGAGCAGGAACAGAGGGGCAGAGGGGGAGAAACCCCTCTCCCGTGGTAGCTTCTGGCTTTCTCAAGCTGGGCCTTACTTCCACACTGAGTCTCTGCCCTCTGCCTGTGTCACAGGAGACAGTGCCAAATCCAGCAGAATTATGGGCATTCTGTAGGCAGCAACCTTCCCAATGGCCCAAGCCACAGAGGGAGACTCCAACTCCACAGGCACCTCATCTCATCCCCCTCTCCCCTGTCCCCACCACTGCCCTTGGAGCACCAGCTGGTACCACTTGGCTCACTTCTTTGGTCCTGTGACTGTACCCCTCTCAGAATCTCTCCTCTTTTCCTGTGCTTACTGTCACCTCTCCTGGTCCCTCCATCCTCACGTGATCCTCCTTCCCAGGCATGTTTTAGAGTTCACTGCCTCTTTTCATGCCTTCAGGGTTCATGTTCCCAGGTTGCAGAAAGTGTTTTCTGTACTGCTGGTTCTTAAATATCCTAATAAATGTCTGTTACTACACCTTTTATCTTTTCATTCAGAATGCTCTCACCAAGAAACCATGCCAGTAACCAAGACTTCAGTTACAATGGAAACTCTCACAACTTTTGAGCGGCTCTCCAAAGCTCTGACACATAACCTGTAGCTGCCTACTAGATAGAAATTCCTGGGGGTTTGTTTACTGACCTGTACACCTTCTTACCATTTACACTATTTCAGTGTTTAAATAGGAAAATTGCAAATTATACAAGTATAAAAATTAAAAGGGCTGGGCACAGTGGCCCATGCCTGTAATCTCAGCACTTTGGGAGGCTGAGGCAGGAGGATCACTTGAGGCTAGGAATTCAAACCCAGTCTGGGCAATATAATGAGACCCCATTGTACAAAAACTGTTAAGAAATAAGCCAGGCATGGTGATGGAGGCCTGTAGGCCTAGCTGCTCAGGAGGCTGAGATGTGAGAGTACTTGAGCTTAGGCCTTACAGGTTACAGTAAGCTGTGAATGTACCACTGCACTATAGCCTGGGTGACAGAGCAAGACCCTGTCACTAAAGCTAATAAATGAAGAATTTACAAATTAATAATTGCTTACTTTTTTAGTGCTGGTTCTTAACATAAGGTTCATTGAGAAAGAAAAATTGTAGCTTGTGTAGACACTGCAGAATTCTCTCTCTTAAATAGCTGTACACAGTACAGAGGCTTGCCACCACTGCAGCATGCCACCTAACGGAAGATTTCTCCAAATGACTTTTTGGAAAAGAAACTGGTCAAAATCCTAATAGTGGCCTATGTGGATTCTACCTAAGTAGAATTGCCAGTGCTGGGAAAATGCCTAGAATCTTGAGAATTCATGCAGATTAGAAAAACTCACTTTTGTATTGCAAACACTCTACCACATTTGGGTATGTTAGCTAATATAATCTTTGTGATAATCTCACGAAATAATGAGAAAAAATATTATCCTCAGTTTTTGTTTTGTTTTGTTTTTTAATGCAGCTGGAAAAAGTTTAATGACTTTTCCAAATTCCTAGGACTTAAAAGGCAGTATAAGGGAGCTAGTTGAAGTATCCCAAGTATAACATTGACTCTTTTCTTCTGGAATATATTGTCTTCATAAGAAAAGTAGCTGAGTTCTTAGATGAATATGTAATGAATATATATATTTGAATGAAGGAAATACACATTTTATGATTTAGATATTTCTGCAATTTCATTGTTCAAAATTCATTTTAAAAGTCCCCCTGTTGGTGTGGACAAAATTAGCAACTAATTCCATCCTTTATTAAATAACTGCAGTGATTTTCAATGGAGGTCATGAAATTATAGCAAAGGGCCAATCCCAGGGCTCTGGACAGTCTCATTCTTTTAGCACTGCTCAGATTGCCAGAAAGGTACCAAGTATATGCAAGGCTTACCTATAGTTAGTCACCCACAAATTGATCTTATTAAGCCATTAGTGGGCAGGATTTCACTTTTACCATTTCTTACTGATAATAATTTAGAATTTAAGAACCTTAGGAATTTTCCACTTAGTTTTACTTAACTATTTGTGTCTTTAATTTAAAACATTGTTTTTGGAGAAGGATTAAGACAAGCAAGGTTCTCTATAAATGAGGCATTTTGAAATAGACTTCAGTTAAACTAAATTTTTACTCCAATCCAGAATCACGTCAAATGCTCTACCTTATTGTAAGCTCACTATTTTTATAATGCCTTCGCCAAGGATGGCAGAAATACAGAATCATCTATTAAATAAGGAGTGTGTTTTAAACATAATAAATTCATAAGAGATCTGAAAAATGTAAAATTACACAGAAGTAAAAATGGTATTTGAATGAAAATTAATTTTGCATCTATGTAATTTACGTCTATATGTGCATTTTACCTAAAACAGGAAGTAACCAAGCATTTCTGGGTTGGGTGGCCGATAGCTTGGCTCTTCAATCACAAAGAGGTTTTTATATCTGTGCCACTTTTTAAGTTCTTGGAATATTTTGATATCAGATAATCTGGGACTCAAACAATTTCTTTTTCTGGAATACATTGGTCTCTCTTTGTTCTGAAATCATTAATTGGTTACCATAATTCTAATACACTTGCTAACCGGTGAGGTAAGCATACGGACTATTTATTCTGATAAACAGTACGGACAGGAAGCAGAGCCATCTTTACATTATAATACATGCTGTGCAACATGCCCTACTTGATTAAGGAACTAATTTCACTTTTTTGGACTCTAGTATTTACCATGAAGGTGCTTTATAGCATACATTTAATCTTTTCTTTGTTTTTTTTTTTGTCCCTTCTTTGTAGTTATTTGAAATCACAGTGCCTCTTTCTCAAGGCCCCAAACCAGTAACAATCAGTTTTGCCAATCACACTTCCTGCCGATGCATGTCTAAACTGGATGTTTATAGACAAGTCCATTCAATTATTAGACGCTCCCTGCCAGCAGCACTGCCACAGTGAGTATGAATTAAATCTGGTTTCTTCTGCATTCTGTACTAATACAACATTTTCAAGTAAATACAAGGTTATTAAAGGAAGTTTTGTGAAATTTGCTATACTATACATTTCGCATCAAATACAAAACAAAGACAAATTTTTCTTACAGTGCACCATGAAAATAAAATGAAACTGAAGCAAGGGAAGCCCGTTCTGACGGCAAACTACTTCACAGTATAAAGGCAGCATTTCTGTGGAGTAACACACATCCCACTCATGTTCAAGGGTATCAGTCAGGTAGCCTAATTGATTTAACGTTTATGAAGTCAGGTGTGGTAGGTAATTCATAAATGATGTTAAAGCTCAAAGTGCTTATGCCTTGATAAGATTTTAGTCCAAACAAAAAGTAAATATAAATAACTTCATATGCTTTGTCCTCTGATATCTAGGAACTTTCTGCCCCGAAACAGGGATATAAATATTTGTTTTGGGGGGTATCCAATGCCTGTGGATAAACTGACATAATTCTAGCATTAGCAACAAAGTATAAATAAATTGATATATAAATATACTTATTACAAAAAATAGAAAGAAAAACTTCCATTCTAGGAGACTCAGTGATAAATGCAATCTGTCATAAGCGGTCTTCCCCACTGAATCTACCCAGCAGGCTGGAGAGGCAGCCTTTGTCCCAGAGACACTTGAGTAAAATCTGGATAGCCTAATTTGAATGACAGATTCTTTACCCCTTGAAGTGAGAAAGAGCAGATCTTACACCTGTGAATAAATTATGCTGATGGAGCAGAGACACTACCACCTAACTGAACAAGATGACCTAGGTGCAGTTTCATCCCCACCGTCCTGCTGGCCTTGCTTAGCCCTGGTCCCCTCCACAATTCTTTCATTCTGAGAACTTCAGCCAGAAGTTCTCTTATCTGTCTTAGAGTGCTACGTTTGTAATTATATTAGATATAAGAACAGAACTAAAGATGTATTAAATCTCTTTATTTCTACAGTGTTTATAGCAGTGTTTTTTCATTTATTCTGAGGCCTCAAAGTCACACAGTTGTCATTAATTTTTTTTTTTTTTTTTAAACAGAGTCTCACTTTGTGGCCCTCCATAGAGTGTGTGGCGTCACAGCTCACAGCAACCTCAAACTCTTGGGCTCAAGTGATTCTCTTGCCTCAGCTTCCCAAGTAGCTGGAACTACAGGCACTCACCACAATGTCTGGCTGTTTTTAGAGATGAGGTCTTGAACCTGTGAGCTCAGGCAATCCCCCTGCCTTGGCCTTCTAGAATGCTGGGATTACAGGCGCGAGCCACTGTGTGTTCCAATTTGCACTTGCACTTTCTTTACAAGTGTAAATCTGCCATCCTTGCACACTGGGTTCTGCACATACGCCCAGTATGATAAAGGGATCAAATCCTTCCCCCACTTTTGTACAGTGTCACAAGTAAGTTTCCAAGGTATCATTTGTTTCATTAGTCTAACCTGAAACAGTCTGTGGCTCCCCAGTGCTCACAGAGCCAAGAGATCTCGCCAGCCTGCTCTGCGCCAGCCCCTTTCCCATTTTGTCTCCCACTGTTCAGCCCTGGCTGTGTTGCACAGTGTCTGGTTCCCTGAACACCAAGCTCATTTCCTGCTCTGTATCTTGTTTCTATTCCTGCCCTGGCTCGAAATCAGTTTCTTTTCTGCCTCTCCAAAGCCCTTTCCATTTCTCAGAGTTCAGATACAGGTCTGTCCCCTGCATCTGTCTCATCCGTATCCCACAGCTACCTCTGCTTCTTGAACACCCACAGCCGTTACTGACTGACCCTGCTCATGCATGGCCTTAGCGGGGTCTATAGTGCTGCATGTGAGACCAATTGTGAGGTTTAGGGGAGCTTTATTTCTCCACAATGCCAAGCTAATAACACTAAAAAATAATCAAGCTGATGCTGTGCGCTCACCCTGTATGTACGTCATCTCATCAGCCATCCCAGCAGTCACCCATGCGGTCGGCTCTGGTATTCACCTTCCTTACAGATAAAGCAGGCACAGGCACAGTCTCCACTGTGGGCTAAACAGCATGTGTAAAGGCTTGTGGAATAAAACAGAAGACTGTCCAATTGCCTTTCATAACATTTGGCATGCTTCATTTTCTTCATTATTTATTCATATAACTGCTACCCTAAATGCCGTTGGAAGTCAACAAACAGACGGTTGTACCAAAAAGGAGCCTGGCCTTGGAGTAAAAGCCAGATCTGAATTCAGGTCGGCCACTGAGTAGCTGTTTGTGGTCGGGTGGGTATTTCATGTCTCCGAGCTTGAGTCTGCTTGTGTAAGAACCGTCAAGCTGTAGAGAGGGCTGAATGAAACACGGATGTTGTGCAGCACTGAGCCAAGTGTGGCTTAAGAGGGGTCACTGAGGGGCGGATTTATTATTGTGAAGATCCGAGTCTGACTCGTTTACTTGTCCCCATGTTGTCCAGTGGGGTTTTTTTCACCACTATCTATAAGAAATACATTTTGTATTCTAAACCCTTATGTGTATCGCATGTGTATATAGACAGTTTTACATATAGCATGTATATATGTAATAGAATTTTAAAATTACATAACTACATAACTTTACATATGGTCAGTCATATATAAGTAAAAAAACCAAATTACCATTTGAAAGACTTTCCCCCATAGTAGTGCTGCTCAGCCTGCATTAGCACCCCCTGCAGATTCTTTTAAAACATTTTTTTCTAACCACTTCCCCCATGAAGCTTTAATACCACAAATATGCTGTGTATCTGTTTATGCTGTGTGTGTATCCGTGCTTTACACATAAAAAGGAAGGAGCTTCTTTCAGTGTAGGGTTATAATGACAAAACTTTTAAGTTAAAAGTTAAGTTGAAAATTTTAAATCTGTTAGCAGCTAATATAACTTTATGCCCATATTTGCCAAGAGACTTTAAAAGGAATTTATCTACTAAAATAAATTGTAATATATCAAATTACATACACAAAGTAGCAATTGATTTGCATTGTTTGTAAAGAAGTAAAATTCAGTCATTAAAGGACTCTTTTGTAAAACGGATCATCCATAAACTGTCAAATCACAAAGATCAACAAAGAATGCTCCAGATAGTGGGAGGACAGAGATGTCCTTGGCTGCCTCTGACCTCAGAGCACTCACAGTCAGAGAGAAGAGGCACACGTTTTCTCATCGTGTGCCACACACAATCTATGTTCCCACTGACCCTGCCGCAGGCCTGCATTCAGGACATACCTCATATAGCACAGGGCCTGGGAGGATAAACTCACCTTTCTCATCTACAAAATGATACAAGATTAAGAATGTTACATTTAAAAGTGTAGTATTTATAACCTAACCCTCATAATCTGCCCAGCAACCTTCTATGATACTATGTTACCCTGACGTTACCTAGCAGTGTCCTATAATAGGAACGACCCCTACTCATAGGAGCACTGTGTGGTGTGTAACTAGCAGCCAGTGTTACCTGCAAGCACAGTGCCTGGCATACAGAAAGTGCTGGATAAACCATGGCTGCTGTTTTTAAGAACGTCTTACAAATGAGGAAATTGAGTCTTAATGTGTACAATGCTAAACATCTAAAAAACTGCCAGACAAAGATAAAAATTCAAGTCACTGTATCTCTGACACCCACGCTTCCTCCCCGGTATCTAGAGCATCTCTAGTATTGATAGAAAACTTTCTGATCCCAGTATCAGAGTTGTCGTCATCTCAGAGGGAAGAGCAATTTCCTCCAGCAGAGGCAGCTGCTACAATGTCAATATGCATATTGATGTTCTCAGGATGATTTTCTTCTCTACAGTCATCTCCTTTTATATTTTCTGTACACCGAGCTCCCTGTGTTCCAGGCCCCATCTTTATGGACAGAGCCATCTTCGGTGCCGTGGGGCCACCTGAGGCTTTGTGTGGCAGGAGTTATGTCTGTTTATTCAGTCATCATACTTCTGTCATGTCTTCTGTCTGTAGAACTCTGTACTAGGAAATCTGGGGCACTAAGGAGGAATATAATGCCTTGACCACAGGAATTCGTGCACCAGAGTAAAGGCAGGTGTTTCTAACAAGTGTAGACAGCATGGCTGTGTTCCTCCACTCAGCCACTCTGAACAGCGTTTGTGCCGACTAATAACGCACCAGGCCTCAGGGATGTAAACACAGAAACAGAATCACTGCTCCAAAAGAAATCTCATACTCGAGTCTAGCGTGTAAACACACAACTGGAATCAGGATGGCAATGTGACTGTGTGGAAGGGGACAGAAGGGACATATGTGAGTCCAGAGAGAACAGCAGAATCACATACCAGGTTGGAAACTTTAGTTGGTGAACTCTTTCTAGAGAAAGTGCTACACATGTCACTGGTGATTATCACAATGGTTGCCTTCGAGGTCCTCCCTTGGGGGACGCTGTGTACCAACACTAGGACCTGGTCCATCCTTAAAAGCCCTTTACTAGGATGAGTTTGTGAACTTAATTGTCAGACCTCGTATGCTATGCCATGGATGAGCTTTTTCCTTTGAGACAGGGTCTTGCTCTATCACCTGGGCTAAAGTGCAGTGGTGTCATAATAGCTCACTAAACCTCAAAATCCTGGGCTCAAGCTATCTTCCTGCCTCGACCTCCCAAAGTCTAGGATTATAGGCAGGTGCCACCATGTTTTGGGCCTTTGGGCCTTTTCTTAAAGTCTTCTGGGACCACTAAAATGTCTCTGTAAGGGTGTGGTAGATGCATGTTTGCATTTCAGAAAGAACAGCCCTATGGCAGGTGATGTGTGTACAGGAGGTGGGAAAATTTGGGAGGAAGCCTTTTAAGTAACCCAAGAGAGTTATTTAGAAGTTTAGTAGTTAGAATGGAGGCCACGGCAACAAAAAGGGGGGGTGGAAAGAAAAGAGAAATGGTGTCTGAGATCCAAGAAGACAGGAAGAGGGCGCTGCATGGGGAATGACACAGAGGGAGCAGCGGATGGGACAGTGGATGCAATTGCCAAAGAGAGAGGCTCCCTGCTCACAGGGAGGGCCAGCTGGGAGGCCTGGTCTCTGCCTGCAGCGTTCCTCAGGAACTCAAGTGGCAGGTAGAACGGCTGGAAGATTTGAAGGGAACCAAGGGAAATATGGAAGTAGGGGGAGGAGCCACAGGTGGAATAAGGGGAAATGAAGGGTTTAAGAAACTTGGAGAACTGGTGGAGTCTGTGCAAGAGAGTGGACAATTAGGATAAAAGCTGGAAAGAAAAATTACTTCCAAGTCATAAAGATAGGAGTTAGGGAAGGAGGAAGTGGTGAGAGGTCAAATATCAGAAAAGTTCAGAAAGACCAGGACCGACCTGTCAGCTGCAGAGCAGGACATGGAGATGTACTAGGAGCAGAGAGGGAGAAGGGTTTTGACAAAGGAGTGTGAACAAAATTCCCATTTACGTACCAGAACCAGAACCACAGGAAGTAAATCTTCTCAACACCACACAACTAGAAAGGTAGCAACGCAGATGTTCAGACTCACTTTGTTTGGATCTAATCCCTGTTGGGATGTAGTCATAATTGCATTTTTTGGTTTTTCATTGAGATGTAATTTTGCATATGTATTTATTGTAGACGTCCACCACCCCAAACATTTGTCCTTTATGTTGGAAACATTTCAAATCTATTCTCCTATTTTAAAATATACAGTATTAACTGTTGTCACCTACTGTGCTGTTGAACACCAGAACTTTCTCTTAACATTATTTTTTAATCCATTAACTAACATCTCTTCACTGCTCCATCCTTCCCAGCCTCCAGCATTGGTCACCCTACTTTCTACCTCCATGAGATCAACTTCAGTAGCTCCCACATACGCGTGAGAACGCGTGGTAATAATTGTCTTCCTATGCCTGGCTGATGTCATTCTTTTTATGGTATATATGGCACCATATATATTTTTTCTTTATTTTAACTTCTTTAAAATTAAACATATACACATAGTGAAGAACAGAATGTACCCCTCCCCCTCAATTTCTGATTTAGAGGCTGTTTTGTCATATTTACTCAAGATACAGCCTGAAGCCCCGGTCTCCACTGTGATAGGGCCATTCCCACGGGTAACCATGACCCTGAGGTTGGGTCATTCTCATTCTTTTCTCTTTTTGTGGCATCTGGATCTGTTCACTTACCACAAGAGCTGCTGTCGTACAGCTTTGAGTGTTTTAAATTTCAGGGTAAAGAACTGACATTCACCTTTTCCTCTTGGCATTGTGTTTTAGAGATATAATCATATTAGCATCTGTAGGCCTCATTCATTTAATAGCCATGCAGTATTCTATTAAATAAAATTTTTATTTTCTTGAATGATAGTATTCTATAAGGACATCAGTACACTGCAGATGAGGAAAAGAGAGCAAAGGAAAGAGACAACAGACAAGTTCCCTGGAGTTCACAGTAGTGAATTTATTGGTTAATTTTAGCACATGATACTTCTGGATTTATAACCAAGTGATTCGATACTGAATATCTTTATTTATATTCTACTTTTGGTAAAGATAGGGTCTTGATCTTGCTCAGGCTGGTCTTGAATTCCTGAGCACAAGCTATCCACCTGTCTCAGCCTCCTAGAGTGCTGGGATTACAGGTATGAGCCACTGAGCCTGGCAAAGCTGGAAAATATATTAATGTAATTATTAAAAAAGAAATCACACCTATAATGCCAGCACTGTGAGAGGCTGAGATGGGAAGTCCCTTGAGTCCAGGAGTTCAAGACCAGCCTGGTCAACATCATGATGGCATGGTCATGGTGTACACCTGTAGTTTCAGTTACTCAAGAGGCTGGAGGTTCATGTAAGCCCAGGAATTCAAGGTTACGGTGGGCTGTGGTCATCCCCACTGCCACAGAGGAAGACTTTTTTGAGACAAAAGATAATAAATAAGAAAGGTGTATCATCACGTTGGCTGTGACCTGTGAAACTTTCTTAGCAGATCCAACATACACATCCTGTCTCCTTGTACTCAGTGTCCGTTTTAGGATGTCTCCCGTGATCCGCACAGTCTGCCAATCTGTGCTGCTGCTCAGCACTCGTCGTCACATAATGGTGTCTACAGTATTGAGCTTGAAAAATGTAAATAAATATTTCCACTGGTGTCTGCACCAACATCAGTTGAAAAATGAGGCCGTGAGAGATTTTATACACACACACTCTCCATTAAAATCCAAAACCCCCTCTATTGGGTGAACTCTAGGAAATGTTCTGCCCCTGGAAAGACCTAGAAGTAATGTAATTGGATGCCATTGAAATCCTAAGTGATAGTCTCTTAATGCCATTTTCCAGCACAGAATTAGGGCTGCTCGAAGGGATGGCTTTCTGCAGGGGTGGAGGAGAAAATAATCAGGTCATCCGTCCCTCCCTGAGGGGCTCCTGGGAGGGTCAGACAGCAGCAGACAGTGGGGCATCCTTCTCGGCACTGATGAAAGTCTGTGGGTTCTAAGTCTCAGAAAAACAGGAGGAGGAAAGGAGAAACGAAGAAAGAGGGAGCCAGACAGGGAAGGAAGGGCTTCAAAAATAATCAGACATGGCCTCTGATACCATTTTGGTGAGCACCAAAGAGTAGAAATTGGGCATTAACGGGGCCTGGACAGCTGCGAGAGTCTGGGCTTCAGAGGTCAGTTGGTACAGGTGTGTGTATCCAGAGGGCCCCCCCCCAGCATTATTTTAAAAAGCCACTTAAATAGTTACCCAAAGAGATTAATAAAATAAAGGCACACCTACTTTTTTTTTTTTTTTTGAGACAGTCTCACTTTGTCACCCTGGGTGGAGTGCTGTGGTGTCATAGCTCGCAGCAATCTCAAACTCTTGGGCTCAAGCTATTTTCTTCCCTCAACCTCCTGAGTAGCTGGGACTACAGGCACCCGCCACAATGCCAGGCTATTTTTAGAGACAGGATCTCGCTCTTGCTCAGGCTGGTTTCAAACTCCTGAGCTCAAGCAATCACCTGCCTCGGCCTCCCAAGTGCTGGGATTATAGGTGTTAGCCACTCTGCCAAGCTAAAAATAATGGCATACAACTTTATGCAATGACAGATAAAGATGCTTATAATGTGTTATTTAGTAGAAAAGAAATTTCAGAATAATATAAAAGGTATTACCCCATTTTTCCCCACAAACTAACACACTGCGATTATCCAAATAGACATATTTGCCTTAAAAAGATGAAAGTCTACAGAATCATGTGAAGTCCATCCGCTCAGTGGTCACCTCTAGGACCGGAATTTGACAGCAGGTGTGGGTGGAGTTAGTTTGAGAGGGAACTTTTGAGTTTCATTTCATATGTTATATTTTTAATAGCTTTTGGGCAAGCATGTGTTGCTTTGTAACACATACATGAGGAAAGAGATGACCCTGTCATTGTATCAGACACACTTTTGCTTCACCCCATCTATCTCTCCAAAGGTGTCAGGCGGCCAACAAGACCTGCCCTGCAGAGTACAGGTGGGACGGTCGCTTCTGCAGATGCCTGGCTCAGCAGGACTTGGTTTTTGCCTCAGACACTGGAGATGGTAAGCAGAATGGTGTTTTAAAGACTAAATGCTAAGGGGTCTGCATTTTGACAAACACATTTTAATATTAAAACCACATTGACAATATTCAGACCATCATTCTTCGGCTAAATTACTACAAAGAGAAGACATTTTCTACTTCCTGTTGGCATCATTTAAACTGTTTTGTAAGGGAACATAGCCGTGTTTGCACACCACCCTTTAATGGAAAACATAAAAAGGAATGTGCTTTTAAATGCTTTTTAATTCTCATGCCACACCCAGAACCGAGTAAGGTAAGATGCTCTCACTGTGTTTGTCTAGACTCCGCCGAGGGATTCCGTGACGTCTGTGGGCCAGACAAGGAGCTGGATGAAGAGACGTGTCAGTGTGTCTGCAGAGGGGGGCTTCGGCCTTCCAGCTGCGGACCCCACAAAGAACTAGACAGAAACTCATGCCAGTGTGTCTGTAAAAACAAACTTTTCCCCAGTTCATGTGGGGCCAACAGAGAGTTTGATGAGAACACGTGCCAGTGTATATGTAAAAGAACATGCCCAAGAAATCAACCCCTAAATCCTGGAAAATGCGTCTGTGAATGTACAGAAAATCCCCAGAAATGCTTCTTAAAAGGAAAGAAGTTCCAACATCAGACATGCAGGTACGACACCTTCAGAAACAGTATTCATTTGTCTTCCTGGAAATACATTTTCAGCCAAAAGCAGTCGCCTGTCACAATAGGCTAGTAAGTTCTGAAAGACAAATTGTGGTATTTTTCACCCAATGCTGAGCTCGCATGAGGCTGGGTTTGCTCCCAACAAAGCACAACAGAGGGCTGACCCAGTCCCCACAGGTGACAGAGGTAGTTTCCGCTGTGTCGGGCCTATTCCTACTCCAGTTCCCCAAAGATAGGTTCACTCACTGGAGCAGTGGGCCCGCTGACAGCCTGGGGATTCGCCCTTTCATGACTACTGGGAATTGAAGTCTAGGGGACACAGTGCCTCTCACTCCCTGCCTCAGGCATCCCCTGTTTCACCTGGAGCCCAGGTGGAGGAGGGACAAGTGAGCCACCATCATGCATCCAGATGCCCACGGGGACAGCATGAGGGTGAGGCTGGTCCCTGGGGACTGCCGTCCGCCGTGGCTGGGTTTTATTGCCTAACGTCTGGGTCCCCTACGAGTCCCAGACTCCAGTGGATTCTGCCCTGTTTCCTGTGATCGCAGTAAAGCATCTGGCTTTAAATATTCACTTGAAATTCCTGTCCTTTCCCCCACAAAGCGGAGAGCACTTCAAAAGGCGTGCTGGTTACTGTGCACGGTCTTTCCATCAGCAAGATTTTTGTTTTAAGGGCTTTTCCTTCCCTCTTACCTGTTGTAATTCTAACCATGAACTTTTATAAACCTCTGAACAATTTCATGATACAGTTAGAATTTTATTCTAATTTGAAATGTAGAAAAACGCAGAGGTGGCTTGGTGGCGTATGAATCCCCTGCCTGGTCATTAACGACAGTGTGTTCCTCTGTGTCTCTTCAGTTGTTACAGACGGCCGTGCACAAACCGACCGAAGCCTTGTGAGCTGGGACTTTCCTTTAGTGAAGAGGTGTGTCGCTGCGTCCCCTCATACTGGAAACGGCCACATATGAGCTAGACTGGACCATTGTTCAGTTCATCATTTTTCTGTCTTGGAAAACTGTGTTGCCACATTGAACCTGTCTGTGAACAGAGAGACCTGTGGGCCCGTGTTGCCAAGGACAGACTCTTTCCTAAACCACCTGGGGACCAGCACAGAAAGGGACTGCAGCCCATCTGCAGAGGCCTCTTATAAGGACCAGTGTCTTGCCAGTGACCCAACAGCTGAAGTTTTTCTCTTGTGTTTTTTTTTTTAAATAATGACTATATAATTTATTTCCACTAAAAATATTGTTTCTGCATTCATTTTTTTGTAGCAATAACAATTGGTAAAGCTCACTGTGATCAATATTTTTATATCATGCAAAGTATGTTTAAAATAAAATGATAATTGTATTATAAGCTGGTAAGTTCAGTCCATTGCCATCTCATGCAGTAAACAAAACTGCAATCATAAAAACATTTCCCTCTGCCTTTTTCTTTTACTCTAACCAGATGTCAGGTGTTTGGTTGCTATGAGGAAGTATGATCCTCTAAAGTAGTGGTTCTCAACCTTCCTAAAGCCGCAGCCCTTTAATCCATTTCCTGTGGTCGCCATCCACAGGTTGAGAACCCCTGCTCTACAGGAAAGCTGCAGAGGAACAACAGTAGCTATTATCACATTTTGGTTAAATTCATGTCTTACTGTTTTAATGATCGTAAACATTTCATCACATGATGCTTTTCAGTTTATAACCAAGTGAATCAATACACAGTATCTTCATACGATGGTCCACTCAGCACATCCACGGGATTGAAAGTTAGTCAGTGAGCTGGGAAAACCCTTAATCTCGGTAGAAAAGCCTTCCATATGAAAAAGGCTTTAAAATATTTTCTCAAACAGAATCTTTCCAAATATTTAACAACTTCTGATCAGCTAAAATACTTCTTGCAAGCTAAAGTGCTTCTTCCTATTACATTTAAAGTAAACTGGAATAATATTTAAATGTTGCCATATGCCATGAAGGAAATATTTCAGCCACCCAACTGAAGAGCAATGCTTCATTTTTAAAAGGACATCACACTACAAAAACTTCTCTCTGGGAATAAATACTAACATTTTGCCTGCGTGAATACAACCAAATGTGTGGTTTGTTAAAGTTATTTGCTAGTGTGACATAGCTACTGTATAACAATGATCAGTCCTGAGAGGGGAAAACTTCTACACAAGTATGTGAAGGTAACTCTCCAGAAGGCGGCAGACTTAATATGTCAACAAAAATATTTTTAACTGGTTTAGGGATACAAAATCTTAGTGTTTATCATCTATCTGTTTTGTTACAACATAAATATTTCATTAGGAGGTTGATGCCTGAAAAATACCCTGAAGGCTTTTAGTACTTTTTTAAAAAGGTTTCACGTGCAGCATTTACTAAATTCCAATTAAATGCTCTGCCCAACCCTAACATCTAGTTCATGAAGACTTTTTACATACTCAAAAAGGAAAAAAGACTTCTGAAACTCTCATTCTAGATTGGTTGACCATCTTCCTATTTTTCACTAAAGCTGACTCCAGCTGACAACATATACATGCTGCGTGTTTGTACGGCTAAGGTCTGCACAGGAAAAAAAATTCACAACAGTTAGATTTCTTAAAATCTCCTCAAAAGAACAAATTCAGGAGTGAAAACAGAGGCAAAGTTAGAATGAAAACAGCCTCTTATCTGACAGGGGCACAAGCCAAAGTGCATAAAATGTCCATCATCTTTGAAAGCTCAGGTTCGGCTTGTCATTTTCAACTCATTTGAGCCCAAAATGAAAGCAAACAAACATCATCTATGTCATCTGCTACTGTTCATCTGCTCACTTTTAGATTTGATACATTTAAAATAGATTCTTAGTAAAATCAGAACAAATTCTGTCAGTAAGCACCGGAGGCCCCATAAGGCATATTTGAACCTGATACAGTGACTCGCGTTGTCAGATTAAAAGACAATCCAAGCTCTGTGTCGACCAGAAGTTTCTCTTGGTATACGCGTAAACCAAAAAGGAAGACATCACTAGACAAAAAAAGAAGGCCAGAAGCATGCCATTTAGATGTGTTCCTGGAGACGTAATTATCTTGACCAAAAGCAAGAGTAACAAGAACAAGGATAACACGTCATTAGCAGCACCTGCAAACAACTGTCTGCGGACCATAAAAATCCCACTTGGACACAGCTCCTCTTCAGTGAGTTGATGGACTAGAGATAAAGCTGAATGATTATTTAGAATATTACCAAAGGTGATTTGGCAAGAAAGTTAAAAAAATTATGGTGAGAATGTTCACAAACTGTGAAAGAGTCCCAAGATACGGATCTAAAGGATGAAGCTGAGGAAATGCTGTAAGCTCCCCACAGTTAATACGTCCACATCTTGGGAAGTTTATAAACAGAACAGTATGTCCAGAAACCAAATAGTCCACACTCAGTTTAAAAGACTTAGGTAAAAATGTTTTGTTAAGCAGTTGCAAGTATATTTATTATTAGTATTATTTTGGAAGATAGTTTTGGCATTATTCTAACTGCTTGAGAGAAACAGATTCCATTATTACAATTTCTAAAAATAACCTTTGTCTTCTCTATCAACACCACTCACAGCAAGAGGCAGAGTGGTGGACACAGACCTAATTCACTGGCACACTCAGGATGCCCATTAAGGAACAGAGAGGGCTGTGCATTACTGTGTGGGCTGCGGACTTTCCCTGGCGAGCCCCTGTATAAGGAGGAATTTTACTCAGGGTGGGACAGGAGCAGAGACACAGGACGGGGAAGACTTTGTGTTGTGGTGACTGTTCCAGCTACTTACTACTGAATCTTCTGCAACTCCTACGCCTGCAGGTGCTGTACTCATCTGCAAAGTGCCGGGGTTGCACCCCCTTCTCTACTTTATTCTGCTCTGCCCAAAATCTGTGCTTTCATTTTCAGATTTCTCAAAGGATAAAATTACAAATGAGAGGTGACATAAAAATAGTATTTCACACTGTTCCAGAAGAGGGCATGGATGTGTCTGATTGTTAGATAGTAGCTGAATTCTAGAAAGTTCTGAATAAATCTATCATTGTATCTGAAAAGCACATACTGTGCACCCAAATGGCCACTTAAGGAATTCAGTAATTCATAAAAATAATTACTTATGAGATTAGTAGTTTGTTCATGTGTGTGAATTTTTGATATATTGGGTATTTTTTTTTTTTTTTTTTTTGGCCGGGGCCAGGTTTTTGAACCCATTACCTCCTGTATATGGGGCCGGCACCCTACTCCTTTGAACCACAGACACCGCCCTATATTGGGTATTTTTAAGCAGGAAATAATTATCTTATGGAAAGTCAACCAGTTGCATGTGATTTTTTCATTCTTTTGCTAATAACTCATGGCTGAGAGACACAATAACAGCTGTGGATAGGGAGTCGTACACTAGGTTTTTAATCTCCACATCTCAATCTGTGTAGGAGGGAGTTGACTTAGAATTGTGTATGACATCCTGGCTCTGAAGTTACATACAGTTTATATTAAACTATATGCAGAAGAGAATCAAACCAGAACATTTTAGGAACTTCAGGGATACACCATTCTTGAGACTAGTGACCCTTTTAAATTCGTGTTTTAAATTTTTTTCATGACCAGGTATGGTAAGTGGCTCACACCTGTAATCCAAGCAATCTGGGAGGCTGAGAAGGGAGAATCACCCGAGCTCAGGAGTTTGAGACCAGCCTGATCAACAGCAAGTCCTAGTCTCTACTAAAAAATAGAAAAAGTGGTCGAATGTTGTGACAGGCACCTATGGGCCCAGCTATTCAGGAAGCTGAGGCAGGAGGATCACTGGAGCCCAAAAGTTTGAGGTTGCTGTGAGCTATGACTCCACAGCACTCTACCCAGGGTGACAAAGAGAGACTCTATCTCAAAAAACAAAATAAATTTTTCATGTAATAAATTATAAAACTCAACCTTCTACGTATAGTTCTAATTCTTAACTCCTAACAAATTTAGACAGTTTAGAGAATCATTCCTCCTGATTTTTTCATGTCAAAGGTGATCACATAGAGACATTGAAAATTTTTTTGCAAATATCTTGAAAATTTAGAAAATTATGCAATTTTCATAAGATAACAAAAATGGGGACTGCCTGTGCATTCTTTGCAAACCTCAACCAAATAACAGTGTGTATAATCCAGGCCTTTGAAGCAGAAAGTGACTTCCGATGTTGGTCCCATCTGGCCTGCTGATGACAGGACTTGATTAGGAATTGCTGCCATGTCACCAGGACCTGCTGTCTGCACGATTGTTAAGGATGGCATTCAGAATGCTCCGAGGCTGCCTACAGTGTCACCCCCAGGGGTCGGTTCTGCAGCAGACTGGACGGGACAGGACTGTCCACAAAGACAGTGACCACTACTTTCATTTGACAGAATTGACTGTGAGACATGATTCAAAACTTCTTCAAAATCCACTAATGAGTGACTGGATAAGAACTCTAAATTGCATCAAACAGAAATACTTAATTTTACAAATAAAATATGTAAATACTTTTAAAAGGAGAAAACAATTTCCAGGAGTATTCAACACTCCAACACTTTTACAGGACTTTATAACAGTATTTTAGTGTCACATTAAATTTGTGGAATTTTTTTCTTTTTAAGGAAGCTGTATATAGTTGTAGTGTTTTTGAAAATTAACCCTTTTATTCAAATGCATTTATTTAGGTTCAGTGGGATTTTTATATTGGGAATATCATCACACCGGTATCAAACGTAATTGTATTCTTTCAATTTACAGAGAACCCTCTTCCTTGGTGGGAGCACTGTACCTTTAAACACCTGCTGTCCAGACCAGTCACCCTCCTGCCCAGCCTGGCTCCTGCCCCTCCCCACACTTCATACCTGTGCTCACCCTCCTGCCCGGCCATGGCTCCTGCCCCTCCCCACACTTCACACCTGCACTCACCCTCCTGCCTGGCCTGGCTCCTGCCCTCCCCACACTTCACACCTGCACTCACCCTCCTGCCCCTCCCCACACTTCATACCTGCGCTCACCCTCCTGCCCCTCCCCACACTTCACACCTGCTTTCTGAGCAGTGTTCTTCACAGCATGCTTTCTTCTATCACCTATTTTTATTTTTTTATTGCCTATTCTTCTTTAACATTCACCTTAAGCCCTGAGTATTTTCTTTCTTTCCTCCTGTGCCCTGATGTTTCCACACTGCAGTATTTTTTGGACACCAATGCCCAGTGATGTGGGAGCCCAAGGAGGGGAGAGGGCACCATGAATAAGGCAGGATTTGGCTGTCTCAGATGAGATGCTATCAGCCTCCTCCTTCTGATTCTACCCTGCACCTTGGACTGACAGACTGATTTCCATGTTAATAGCATTTCTTGACATTGATGATATT